TGTAGTATAATAAAGATACAATTAGCAAATGTAAGAAATAAAATATAAATATGATTTGTTCCTGATCGCTCACTTACAACAACTTTGCAATTCTGTTATTAAATCAGCCTCAATTTGAAGTCAAACATAGCGCTCTCAAAGAATAAATAATTAAATATTCCTTTATTTTTGATTTCATTAAACCTCTGTGCTGTGATAGAGCTGCATTCAACGTTGATTTTCGCAGATTTTAAAGTGAATTACTAATTCTTCCTTTTTGCTATCATTAATTATAATTAATAAGTATGTACTTAGGAATACTGCTGTCATAAATGAGAACAAAATCATACTAAAACATCAGGATATCAAAGATCGGCATAACGTGCTTGAACTATTGGAAATGCAATCAGCATTTATGATACGAGTCACGGTGATGGAATAAATAATATTAAAAAAAATAGGAATAAGACCTAAACGGTTTTCAGGGACCAGCAGCATTCCGGGCGGCAGTCCTGAATAGCAAAGCAGGTTTCAAGCCTCAGGTCGATCACATCTGGTTGGATGACCAGACTCAACCCCTTCCAAGGTCGGTCAGGCATTACTTAAACGGCTGGGTGAGAGCAGAAGAGCTGGCTTTGAACAGATGGGAAGCGGAAACTGTAGTTTTTGAGGTCAAATTATAGATGAAAGTCCACATAATGTACTGACTATTGTCATTAAGCTTTGATTACCTAGGTGAATTACTTTAAAGCATGAATTTTTAAATATCCTATCAAAAAGACTCTAAGGTACTTAAGAAAACATAATCGTTATGTACTTGTAGTTTGCGGCTTGTAATATTCGAGAGCCGCTTTTGACACTTTACACATAAAAAAATAGCTTGCATTTTAAAAAATACCCAAGACAAAACCATAATTTTTATCATGTCATTTCGCGATTTCATTGTAGATACTTGATAGTGTAGTATGATAGTGTGGTACAGACTTGATAGTGTAGACAGAGATTGATAGTGTATTATTCAAATTTCGAATTATTAGTTAAATAAACTTTGGTCACGATAAACTCACAGTACTGTAGTTGACTCTGTCAAATTGTCAGAGTTATTTTGCATTTATTATTATTCTTTTAGATGAAGATAATAAATTCAATATTTCTTTTGTCTGAAAGTAGTCTAAAATAGGCTATATGTAAAGTAACCTAGTCACTACTAAAAAAAACTGAACAGAATATAATTCTGAAACGAGGTAGACATTGCTCCTCAACTTTTATAGGCGCTAATATTACTTTGTTGAATTATTCATATCAATTGGCGTTCATTCATATCAACTTTGCTTTCACCCGTTATTATGATAATGGTATGTGAGGATAACTTCCAGTTTTCTCGTATTACAGGAGAATAATGGAGGCAAGATGTCTATAATGGACACCCAACTGAGTCACGCTCAGGTCATTCTTCGTTCGTCGTTTTGTAGAAAAGTTTTGTCAGCCTGTTTCCTTTTGGAAAGAGCCGATACGTTTGTGGTAAATTGAATGATACTTATGATTATTTAGTCACTTCATAGTGAGCTACTTGTCGAATATTACAAATTTTCTAGAATATGGCCCACGCTAACTTTCATACCATATATTACAACCAAAATGTAAATTTGTTACATTATCAAACTCTTCCTCGACTTAAAAAAGTCATTAAATTTACTTTTTGTTATTTCTTGAATTGAATGCTTTTAACAAGGGAAATCGATAAATATGTGATCCATTTTCTTAGAATTATTTTATTACAATAATCGTAATAATTTAAGGGTAATTTTTAGACGCAATGAAAAATACAATAGTTCTTGACTTTACACGCGGCTTGATAAAATTTCTAATAGTAATGGAAAAAATTATAAATATCAAATACAAGCAAATTGTAGGGAAATTTCAAATGGTATTGTAAGAAATACATAGCTTTATTTTATTACTATAACCATAAAACAAACCCATGATCAGATGAAGCTAACACCTTTATTGATATCCACTATCAAAACTATAATAGTAAAAGATGTATTTCAAATATTGTTTGAAATTGCGAAATCTTTGTTTTTTACAAGATTCTTTTACACACTAAATCTACTCATACTATATAAGTATAGATAAATTTTTTTGCTCAGAACTCTATTAAAAATCTAAAAAGATAAAATTTATTCACTATGTGACAGATATCTTATTAGAACCGACAGACACAAAGTATTTTAACTTTTTATTTTGTACATGTGGAATGACTTGATTGGCCGGAAGATCGCTAATGTCGAGCTAACATGGCAGAATAGGAACAAGGTTGATTATCGTGGGAAATGTAGCAAATTAAATGCAACTTAATTCCGTTTCTTTTTCTCTAGAAAACACCAACAGCTTTAGAAATCTGCCAACAGAAATGTGTTAAACATTTTAGAATTCTATCAAATAAGGCACGTCTAGACTTGGTCATTAGCCTGTGTTCGTGTGCTTGATTCAATTGGCTTGAATTCTTGAAACCGAATAATATATTGGTAAAACTAGCTATTCAATACGTTAAGTTTTATGGTGAAATTGATGGCAGAATTGCCAGCAACCAGGTATTTCATTCCTCAAAACTATGTTCATCCCGTTTTCAAGCATAATTAGCTTGGGTATAAAAATTTAAATGATATAAACTGCACGAGCAGTATGTTTCTATTGACGCGATTCAATTTTATATCAGACGCGTGGTTATTTAAATTGAACCGAACTAGCAAGTTGTAATCCATTTTAAAACTAATTTTGACATTGAACTAGTTAAACTTCCACTGGCATTATATATTCATACGTAAGTTTACTTACGTATATGTACATGATACCCAGTTTAAAATTTTGGGCTACATCTAAGCCTTCTTCACGAATTTGTGTGCATATTAACAAAAGCTAAACAATCCAAAAGTTTTCTGTTTGGCAATTCTTACAGACGCAGTGGGTGATATTTTTTTTTATTATAAGGACCTATATCATATTAGCTTTTCTCATAGGTAGAGCATCAATGGGAGAACTTTTCATTCAGTATAGCCCCCGAGGGTTGGAGGGCGAGATATCATATATATTCACCCGGTATGAAGCCCGGTGGAGGGCAGCAACACCGACCGGGACTGTCGAAAAACGGTTAGTTATATAAATTCAATTTAGGCAGATTCCAAATTATTGCTGTACATTATCTGTCAAATGCTTCTTTAAGTAAGATAACTAAATTGTCATTGCAGTTTTATAAAATGAAAATAAGTTTGTGAATGTATTAATTAAATTACGGTGAAGTTAAATCTGTCTTATACACGCCTACATATACTGTAACACTCATACTCTAGGATGCTACCTTGTCCGCCTCTTCTACCTCGGTGCCTGGAGATGTGTATGGGTAAACGACCAGGTGCCGGTAGACGCTACCGATTCTCCACTCCTACCATTTTCGCCACTCCTTGGCAACGCCCCAGCAGCAACAGTAACAATACCTTCGAAAGCCAGTGCAAAATCTGCTATTGTTACCACCGTCACCTCTCCCGTGGTTCATCTATGGCCCTTGTTGATCTGCAAGGTAAAAAAAAAAATACTAGTTAGAAATATGTAGATTGCTTGGTATTATTAAAAAAAAAAATTAGAACCCAAAGCCCAATTGCTACAGATTATAATGATGAAACCACTTAAACTTTAAAATTCATCACTCGTAGAAATTTAGTTTTCAAGTGGGACACAAGGAACAATAGATGACATTTCGAAATCTATCAATTACGCGCGTAATGTCTCGTTTACGTTGTCATCTTGAATCATGAAGGCATTTCTTGCCAATGCTTTTCTAACGAACGGAAAGCCACAACACCACAACGCCCAATTACCGTCGGCTTCACAATAATAACGAAGTAAATCTTCAATTTATTTGCCAACCAACAATATTATTAGAAGTTACTGCAGGCGAGACTGCTGAAAATTTTCTGCGGTCCTGCTCCGTTGTCATTTGGAATGATGATAGCAATTTGTAAACAGCACCGGTGGTAGCAATGGGGTCTGAATGCTTTTAATCTTTATTTAATCTTAAAAAGTATGGTTAATTTATTCATTGTGCGTATCGTACTTAATAGATTTATTATCATTGTTACGATCATCTAATATGAGTTATTATTTAAGTATTTGGTATAAGAAATGTTTCAAATTTACAAAATGTAGCTAATTAACCAACAAACTTATTTATTTGTAATACGCCTAATAAAAGTAAATTGCAATAGTGCGCTCGCAGTTTTGATTGCTAATGAAATTTTATCAGGCGTTACTCAAGTTGGCTGCGCCTGACATGAATTCTGATGAGGAGATGGACTCCGTTGAGGATGAAGAAATGCACGACTTCAATATAATGCATTGTCTAACGGGGTCAATGAGCTTATCATACGAAAAGCACGGTTAGTTTTAAATAACGCCAAACAATACTTTAAAGCATATCTTCTTCTTGTTTCGTTTTATAACTTTTGCGATAATATGGCAGTTAAACTACTTTTGAAGAGGCGATATGTTATAAAAAGGGAAATAAGACTTTCTAGAGGTAAGAATAATAATGATTTATTTAAATCGTAGTAGCCTAGTTACACAAAGATATGCTATGCTGCACACACTTAAAGAGGATTTTTTTTATTTAACTCAACTAGGTTAATCTGTTTGTCAAACAGAACAAAGGACTTAAATTAATGACAAATCACAATATTTCACTCAGTATAACGTAATAATTAAGTAAAATAGGTGCATCTTTAATGAAAAATGTTTAAGAAATCCACCAACCAGCCCGGTCACCTGAGGTAGGCTAACTGGTACGGTTGGATTTGTTAAGTAAGATGTTCATATAGCAATGCCAATGCAAAATTGATCAAACATAAGAATTCTGAAGGCACAAACACATTCGCAACCCTCATTCGATGTTCGCCCGTCGACTTCAAGGCGTCGCCATCTCCGAGATCCTGGTTTGATTCCCGGTCGGGTCAATTTAGAAAATGAACTATTCTATATTGTCTCGGGTCTGGGTGTTGTGGTACCTTCGTTGTCTCAAATACTCCACAATACCACAATACGGGGGCTTTAGCTACTCATCTTGGTATCCGAGCAATGTGTGTGATGTTGTTTAATAAAACATAAAAAAGCTATGCTAAAATATATAGTAGGATAATAATGATAATTATATAAAATAAGAATTTTTTTTAGGTTATTTAGATTTTTTTTTGTCAAAAATGAATGAAATAAAACGAAAATCCATCAAACTATAACTTGTATTCTAATAGATCCTGAAGATTTATGGAAGCTGATAACATCAGAAGTTCCAGTGTTCTCATGGGATGAAGATGACGAGACACTGCCCAGCACCGTCAAGTCTAAAAGTACAAAGAAATCAACTGCCAAGGAAACAACAGTGGTAAAGAGTACTGCATTGTATTATTTAGTAGACATAATTTAATATTCCTTTTATTTTCACAAGGTTTTGTTTTAGTAAACCTAAAAATAATAATAAAACCGATTTTATTTTTTAAAAGGTATAAACCACATATGATTTATTCTAAAATAACGCAAGTTCAGTGTCTATTAAGACGAATACATTTTAATTGGCCGATATAAAATCTTATATTCAAAATTTCTTATGAAAGTCAACAGTCAGTAGCGTAGCCGTTACACTATATGCGGACTTCCCCGCATGCAATAATAATTGGGTACATAAATATTTTCACATCCCGCAATATATGAGCTATGTAACTGTTAGTGAAATCAACTCATAAGTACGCATAACGAGAATCTCCTGCATCATCATGCAGGTCTATCAACCGATGAAATAACCTTTATTTTAAATTTTATGTTTTTTCATACAATTTATGTCCTCGGGGTTTAGCGTTAATAGGCATAAATGCTAAGTATGCATTAGATTATCTCATAAAAAACTCAAGGTTAAAGGGTTTACTGTCCATAAAATAGAATCTAAGTGGACTTTACGGTTGTAACCGTTGTAATCAAACTTTATGACCGAGATGGAAATGAAACTCTTATTATAATAAAAAAGTTTCCAATGCTTGCTTTTAAAGGACATGACTATTTTTTTAAATAAATATTCACCTAATAATTATTCCAAAACTTAAAACCAAACTATGGTCTCATATAATACGATCATTGACAACTCAATTGCACAGGAATAATTTTCAAACACTTAAACCAGCAGTATCTACTCATATATCAAATTTATGTTGATACTCGCTATCAAAATAATAATATCACAGTATCTCTTTCCTACATATTGAATTGAATGTTTATATAATGACCGTGAAAATAACATCTATCGTTCAGAAAAGTTCCTTGGCTACATTGCTGATAATGGATTCCAAGAACCTGCCACCATATACTCTACCAGGAATCACTCCGGCACATGAAATGACACTAGCCGTAAATATGGCGCGGGATTTACCACTGAAGAAACCATTGCCAGAGCCAGGTTTGTAAAAACATTATAATTTATCAAAAATTGGTTCAAATTCAACATCAGCCCTTTTACGTTCCCACTATAGGGACTCAGACCTTCCTTATCGATGGTTAAGAAGGATAGGCCATGATCTTCCACGCCCTCCCGATGTGGATTGGAGGGTATTAACGGCTCCAAATGCAGCCAGAAGCAACGTCTTAACATGCCTTCCGAAGCACGGAGTAGCTCGAGATAATAATTTTTTGATTACCCATCCCGTGACCGACCCTTGCGAAACCTGCCCAACATCAACAATCGCGAGCCGCGTCGTTTATCCACTACGCTGCTGAGCTACCTAAAATGAATGATGCAAGTCCGAAATCGAAACCAGTCCAAAACTAAGTTGAAAGTTTTTTTTTTTTAAGTCAGATTACGAAATTTATTGTTTCATATTAGCTTAAGAGCCTATGGGTGGTAGACTGTATTAATAGAGTCTAATCTCCCTCCAAAGATCCCCCATACTACATATATCTACTAAATATATAACTGATATATGTAGATATCTGGTCCATACACGGGATACGGGTAACTCAATTTTTTTACAGAATTTTATAGCATTTTAATAGTCTGCCATTATGAAATTCCTAATACTTTTATTTAAGATTTAAAAAAATAATAACAGACACTTGTAATATTTACAAGATAGCAGGTATATTATGATCATGACATAATTTGATATATTGAAATTTAAATATCAATATATCTTATTATATTGCATGATCAATATATCAAATTATATGTCATGAAGGTCCTTACATATGAAATTGGCGTTTTGTCGTACTGGCAAATTCAAATTTATATACACATGTATTTGTGTTTCGTTAGGCGGCATTCTTTTGTTTTTTTTCTCTTCTGTTTGTCTTATTTACGTCACGCAGTATAAAAAACGGAAAACTTGAAATATCGTATTATTTACTAGTACGAGTTCCATCGTGGTACCAGTGCTGCGGAAACGGCTCGAAGGTTTAATGATGTGTATGGCGGTTGTGTCACAAAAGAAAACACAGCCCGTTTTTGGTTCTGGAAATTTTGATCTGCAGAACAAGCCCAGTGGACGGCCGGAGACTCAAGTTACTAATGAAGAATTGAAGGCTATTGTGGAAGCGGATCCATCGCAAACCAAGTCCGAGGTAGCTGCAGGCTGCGGTGTTAGTGATAAAACTGTTTGAATCCACTTGAAGAAAATTGAGAAGATTAAAAAGCTTGAAAGATTAAAAACCTCACGAATTCAGTGAAGCAAACCCTCAAACACGCTTCGACTGCTGCGTTACATTACTTAACCGGCATAATAATGAAGGGTCTTTAAATCAAATCATTACCTGTAATTAAAAGTTACTTGTAAGCATTTGGTGGACTAGTGCCGGTATCGTCCATTACTTGTAGCAAAAAAGTTACTTGTAAGCATTTGGTGGACTAGTGCCGGTATCGTTCATTACAGTTTTCGGCAGACGTCTATTTTCAGCAATTGCAAACCATGCTGGAAAAACTACCTGTTAAACAACCGAAGCTGGTCAATCGCTCTACGCCACTGCTACTTCACCACAACGCTAGACCACACACTGCACACAACAGACAGCCTCCAAATTAGAAGAGCTTCAATTGGAATTTCTAAGACATCCACCGTACTCCCCGGACCTTGCTCCAACAGATTACCATTTTTTCGAAATTTGAATAACTTCTTGCAAGGAAAAAATTTAACTCCGATGGGGCAGTGTAAATCGCCTTCAAAGATTTTATTGATTCCCGTCCTAATGGTGATTTAGTGAGGGGATCAATGAACTACCTATGATATGGCAAAAGTTCAAAAATAACAATGTTTTATACTTTGATTAAATAAATATATTATATTATAAAATATTCGACTTTTTGTTCCTCCCATACCATACACCAATTTCATATGTAAGGACCTTTTTTTTAGTTATCAGAGTATTAGGAGCCGATAATAACAATGGCAGACATTTACTCCAGTCGTAACATGTCGGTAGACAGTTTGCTACCCGTGAACCCTGAAGCTATATATTTTCTCTATGCCTGGTGTCTGCTGAAATTATTTTATGATACGCAGTTAACAGAGATAACGATTTATTCTTTAGTTCTGTATCACTATATATGATTAATTTAGACGTGGCGCTGTGGAAGCATTACCGATGGATAGATTGGGCAAGAAGACATGGACTTTATGAAGCCTACGATTGTCCAAATACAAGATATCTTAAAATTAACGGTCTTTTGAAACTGTCTCATTCACCTCATTTGCTGGATGTTCAAAGCACAGAATCTGTAAGTTAAAATAACATTGTATCACATAAAGTAGAACTTCATTAAAGTTGTTGTATTATCTACATATTTTGACATGTAATTAGCGATAATGTTGCTCTTTCTTTAGAAATTGCTGGATACTAGTATATTACAGTAAGACACGTATTCCCCATTAAGATACATACGTGATAAAAATGCTATACACGTTCATACGGGCTAGTATATTTGAGAAATTTTGTTTGAGATATGTCTTTGTTTGTTTTTGGCATTAATATGATTACTTAATTAGAATATTCAAGAGGAATTTACAAATGAAATTAAAAAAAGTCTCTTATGTTTTGGGGTAACATCATCAATAGCTGTTAATACTGCAATGAAAAACATAATTATTTTAAGCCAATTCAAATTGTATAACATTTTTCAAATTCTTACTTACAGATTGTCGCTGGTTATCGAGAAGAACACGAAAAAACTGCCGCTATGGTACATATTTACAGTATTTCAATATTTTAAATACATCAATATATACCTGCATATATTCTTAGTGGTCTTATTATGACATATTATCTTATGATATCTTAAGCCGTTTGTTTCTTCTTAATTAATACTTCATTCGCTAGTTAATATTGTTTCTTTATTATAAAATACCAACTAATCCGTATTAGACCGTGCGTTATGGTCCATCCCTGTAGTAGGGCCTCAAAATGGCTGATGATGATGATTATAAAAGGACATCGCCGAAAATGGCCCCAATACCAGTAAATATTAATATTTAAATAATAAATATTAATTTATTTATTAGATTGGTATCAAATATTTATTTGATACGGAAAAGCTGCGATCCAAAATTAATATTTAAAAGTACTTTAACAGTAACATTTTCATTCGCAAATATTCACATTCTATACACTTAAATTCTATTGAGTCAGATGGATGTTATTTACACATCAGATCAAGAAGATCATTTATTTTTATTAGATAACCTTTAAATCATCGAACACAAAAACATTAAATTAAATTGAAAGAAAATAAACTTCAGTATAAACGTCAAATCATTTACTAAAAGTGCCATGTCTTGGTGGTTTTCCAAATAAAACATAAGGACATAATATACAAACTAAATTCATTAACTGTTAATTATGACAATTCACTCTTGTTTATTCAGAAAGATTGATATTCATACGAAATTTCCTAAAAATTACTTTGTTTCTATTACATTACCCTTATATTCCTGGTAAGCAAATTAACATCATATCATTTACGTATTTAAGGCGCCATCTTTTGATGGAAACCATAAAAAAACTATAGGTTTTTCAATTTTAAGCTTATCAATAGCTTATATATTTAACTATTAGAATGATTTATTTGTCTATTGACTTAGAAACTTTTACAAGTCACAACGAAAAACCGACTTTAAAGTTGAGTTTATTTGCTTCGACAATATAGACATCAATATCATGTACTTAAGAGTGCCATCTCTTGGTGGTTTTCCAAACAAATTATAAGCTCAAAATGAATTATATTTTGCGTCATAATAAGTTCTACAACTTGGTCGCGGTATAATAAATACATAATGAGAATTAGTCAGTGACTATATAAAATTAGTATTTTCCTATATTTTTTGGCTCTGGGGCCACCAATGTATGGACGTTGAGCAATGTCCTTTATAAAATTTCCTGGGTATAAAAGCAGTTTTGAGATTTTTGATTCTAAATGACCGACGTACGATATTAAAATCGATCACATTTTAAGAACATTTTATTTCGAAATTTATTTATCACATTTCGAAAAAACATACGAAAGCTATTATTTATTTGTATAATTTTATATTTTTCTACTTACAAAATGCTTTAACATTTCACCTAGGTTAAGAAGGGAACAGCAAAAGACGGCGCTGCTAATGCCACCGTCCCGTCACCAGGAGCCAGAGAAGAGCTGCGAGAATGGGTCCAGTATGATGCAGTCAGTAATTGTTTGACAATTTTATTTAACGTCTATTCATTACAAATATTACCTAAAATAAGTTCATAGTTACGTAAAAATATTTTTTCATTTATTCTCACAGAATCGTATTCTATCTTCCAGTTACATACATTGGTCAAGAATTTCAACGTCTTATATTTCCCATCTATGTACCAGTTTACGTCTGCAGGAAATAGTCCACCTGTCAGGATCACCAAGGGAGCTTCAAACAAACCTATCGACATTGTAGCTCCCAAATGTGCACCATTCTATTTACAAATTGACGGGCCCGAAGAAAATACTGTACGAATTTCCTTAAATATGCTCCATCCAAGAATCATGTTTAATAGTGGAATTCCAATATCAGATTACATAGAACCAGCCTATCTTATATTGGAGAAATTCGAATGGTTTGTAGACTGCGATTTGCCTATAGCCAAGGCTTACATCCAAACAAGAGGCTATGATTCTGTTGAAGTCACTTTTAAACCAGGGAGACACATTTGCAGGTTTGAATATAAGCAAACTAGTATAGCTTTTTTTATTTAAGTCAAACTGAATTCAAACCTACCCAAAAAATCTTGGATATTTAAAAATAACTTTAATTTATCTGCTTATACCTCTAGCATACATCTAGCTTTACCGAGTACTCGATATTACCGTTTATTTAGTATTTAACTATATTTTTATAAATATTTTGAATAAAAAGTCTACTTAAATACTAGCGAGTTTAAATCCCACAAATGCTAGCAAGGAAATTTAATTTAATTTCAGAATCTGGATTCATTCTAGAATGAATTGGCATATCATGATTCTCAGTGAATCTACATTACTTTTGGGTACTAAAGATATCATTCACGGGGCTGCTATCAAAGAATGTCCATGGGCTTCCAGATTCCTCTCTCAATTAGGGGTTTCTTTTACTAACTGGTGTCGGATCAACAGATCTAATATGAATGTCATTGCAGCTGATCGCGAATTCTACCGGTAAGATTTATTGTATGTTAACTCTTTATTGTTACTATATATGCCATATATTAACTATGATGCATTTTCACTATTACTATCAAAATTTACTTATTTAAAACTGAATAAATAATTAAATTATAATTTTAAAACCGGATGAGCACATTTGACAAGTGAGGCGGCCAGTGTTGCCAGTGTTGTTTTTTACCAACGAAAAAAGGGCGTTTACTTTGTTTTTATACAGCAAAAAGGGGTAGCTATAGAGTTTTGGTTATGAGTGGTCATACAAAGTGATTCATGGCAGACTAAATTTTCTGTGCGGTCTTAGAAGTATAAGATTGTTATAATAAACTGAGTAATATCCTACTAACTTTTAATGTCGTCAAAATTGACCATATGAATTTATGATATTATTAAATTTATATACCCATTTACCAACAGGTCGTACCAACCCGACTTAGAATGGGATTCGGAAAAAATTGGGTATAATAAGGCACTCATACATTGGATGTTCCGACAGGCATTACAATCTGTATTGGCAAAACGACTTTCGCCTGTAGACTACCGAAACGTATGCGGCGTATTGCGAAGATATTTCTGTGATCCTGATTTTGGATTACCAGACAAACCCAAACCTCAAAAATCTCTAAGAGATATAGCAAATATGGACCCATGCGACTGTCTTTTGCCTGAAGCAGAAGAATTGGGTTTCGAAGAAGAAATTGTAGAAGAACAAGTATTATTATTATTATTTATCTATATTATGATAATATTATTATTATGAACTACTGCTTCAAAAATTACGATAACTAACTTTTAACGATATTTGTGATGTGAATAAACAGGAACATGAAGAAAAGCCCTTGATAGATGAAGCAAAAATGGCGCAACTCCTGAAAGCTCCTAAATATCCAGTAACATCTCAAGTGTGTGAACTGGCAACTGAAGAGTTGCCTTGTGGAGTTCTAAAGGAAGAAAGGGAAAAGGTCATAAAGAAACATGAGGCAGCAACAGTATTGCAAGCTCATTGGAGAGGAACATGGGCGAGAAAATGTCTACAATCTCATGTGATTTTCACACCCGAAATCACGAAAATTGTAAGTTATTAACAAAAGCAATACTAAAATCCTATAATAATACCCTTGAGGTAAAATAAAATAAATTTTTGAAGCATAATGCTGAAGCAGTTTTTGAGGATAAATGACGGTGCATTAATTTATACCTCAAAAACGGTGCAGAAATCATTTCGAGCAGCAGAGAAAGTTTTTCTTTCTATATTAATATTAAAACAGAGAACTCAAAACAAATTTCACAATACTTAGGAAAAATAAAACGATTCTTTCTTTGCTACATGAAGAGCGTATCATCTGTAAGAATAGTTACCAACAGCTTAAAGAACAATAGTGCAATTAGATAAAATATCGTATAAATGGCCACTTAAAGTTTTTATATTGAATAATCATCAAAAGACATTTCTGTTTTGTAATTTATTAAGTCTCTAATTTTTATATTTATTTTCAAACCCCAGATCATGGAGAATGCATTTGGAAATCTAGACGCATTATCGGCGTTGATGAACGAATTCTTCGCCATGTTCCCCACTGTAAAGCCGGCATTCTCCGTTGCTTCAGCATTAACAGGAACTTATGGTGTTCGTCAGTTCAATGGCGTTACACCAGTAACGGTAAACTACAAATGGATACCATACTTCCAAGGAGTTTTTTATTGCCACGAACCAGTCAAAGTGCATTTTGATCTACAAAGCTCACTCCAGTTTAGCACAATAGCTGTATATGATAATGATACTGGGTTACAAAAGCCTCAAGTATTCAATGCTCATATCACTTTTGATTTCAGTCCAAACAATTTGGGGTGAGTATTTATGATTGGTTTACAAAATATCGACCTTTATAATTTAAAAAAAGAATAAATTCCAGCTCTAGCTACATACTGATGCAATTCACGCATGTGTATAAGCACTCATCGTAATCATTATCATCATCCTTATCTCTAGCCTATTAATGTTCTCATTGCTGGGGCCATATTATTTTATATTTACTTTTTACACAATCGTTTGATATCATATTCTAACGCTCTGGTTATGATTCCACTGAAAGACTTTAGAAATTCTTTGTTATTGAATATATAACATTTATTGAATTTATTTCAGTTATACTGTTATAGGACACGGCACCCTAAATCATCCAGTGGCTACAAATGCAGAAAGTCATTGGCAGCTTACAGTGCTCTCAAGCATCAATGAAGCCTTCCACATCTGCGATAATGATGCAGATGGATGCAAAGAGCAGCAACTACCTCACTCTTTCAAATTACACATTGATGAAATATATTTACCGAACACGAGAAATATACTGGGAGGCATACAGATATCTGTCTTGAAAAACGAAGTTGTAAGTTTTAGAGCTGCTGCTACATCGCCAGAGGTAGGTTAATTTGTAATTAATTATCTATTAAGTGATTCTATCAATTCGTTGACGACGAATTGCATGTGTTCACCCATTAGTTAATGCTATGAATATTCAGTGTGTGTATATTTCCATGTTTATCACATAGCGCGTAACAGTTATATTGTATCAGCCAGGGCACAAATCGGTTAGAGCCAGACTATGTCCATAAAAGGCAAACTACAGTCGCGTACCGAATGATCAGTGAAGACGATTCTCAATGGGGTTATCAGTATTCAAATGATCAAAAACTGTGGGTTTTTATTACTTGAGTGTACCCATATATGAAATAGTAGTATTGTAGCAAAGGTATATTGATTTAGAAAATTCCTACAAACGTATTCAGTATATGTTATTTATTTCTGCATTTTTTTTTTGAACTGTCTCTGCAAATATGCTTGCAGCTTGAAATAGAAGTGAAACTACGAAAACTGGTAGATGGCCAAAAACAGGAGATCGCAAGGTGCGCAGGAAAAGGAGAAGTGTTCTGGCCGTACGTAAAACTAGAAGCTCAGCCACTTAATGAACCTACGGTATAATTACATAATAATATAATAATATAAATGAGAAATAAATGCTTGGTTCATATTTTTGCATGTCACTTGAAATACTAACTTAATAACATTAATTAAATATTAATTGTGATGTTACTCTATAGATAAGTAAAGAAAGGCAGCATGGCAGTGCTAGATCAGTCAAAACTCCGGTCACAAAGCCCTTGGCTAGTGGAGGCAAGAATAAATCTATTACAAAGGTAAAATTAGGAATATAATTATCACAAACCACCTACCAGATTGCATGAATTTCAAACTTCTATTCAACCGACCCAGGGGTTTTAATTTTTATAATTGTTTCTACGCGAATTTTTACGTCATAATATCTATGAGGGTCAGTGCAATTCTGGCGGATAATCCATCAAGTGCCTCAAGAAATAGGGTTTTCTACTGTATTTTAAATAGTATTTGTAAGTGTTTATTTTAATTTAAATATGCCATAAATCAAATATTTCGGATAAATATACGTACGTATCTTCTTCGAGAAGATTATTTTGCCTTAAAATTAAATCAAAATATGAACTTCTCTTATACCCGCGAAAACGCTGTGTGACATATTCATGATGTCATTTAGATATGTATACAAAATAGATGCAGAGAGTAGTAGAGTAGTTTTAATATGTCAATAAAATACGAACAATGCCATCTAACGGTCGAATAATAAAGAGGCGTTATTTACGAATAATCTGATTGCTATCGCCAAAGTGTCGTTACACCATTGTTAGTAGTATTTCAAATCAAGTGATACACTAAAAAAGAATTACTTTTAATAAGCTAATAATGCCAATTTATGACATCAAATAAAAATCTGTATGTTAATAACAATGTAAATTTTTGCAATTTCTGAGGTTCCGCAATCGATGAGATGTCAAACGTTGTCTGTAAAATATGCACTGACCGGTATCATCTAATTACAATAGGGATGATGACTAATTTTTGTTTGTTTGTCCGTCAGGTAGAGTGTTAAAAAATATAAAACATGTACTTTTTTATTTTTTTCGTAATCATAAAATTACGGCGCTATATTGAGTTGAAATTTCCCATGACGTCACGTTAGAGTACGTTTTCTACTCAACTTTAATGCCTGTTATCTAAGCTATTTCTTATTAAATTGAAGTAAAAAAAAAATACGTATGTAATATTTTTCTATTATCTGACTGACGGACTAAATAGAATTGCATTTTTTTACCCAGTCATCATCCCTATTATGACTTACCTTATTATCAGTTTTTAAATCATCGCCAGATCAAACGAAGTCAACACGTCTCGATTTGACACTTTCGTCATATCTGTATGTATTTATTTATTTAGTTTTAGTAAGATTTACAGATAATAAGATGAGTTTACATAGTAAATTATTCCGATTCTAATTACAAATCTCCACAAAACACTAAAAGTAATCCTTAATTATTGGTACATTGAAATTACAAATAGAAATATTTTCTTTTCAGCTGAAATCTGTTGCTCCAGATCCGAAGATATATTATATCGAGTAAGCATAACAGTTATTCAATCAACAAACAAATAAAACCTATTGCTATGTGAATGTCTTGTTATAAAATACTATTTTGTTATTTTTGATAAGTAAGTTATATAAATGATCTTTTTTTAAGTTTTTATTTAAAAAAAAGAAATATGTTGATACTTTTTCCCTGCTACAGAGCGTATTTTCATAAATGTTAAGGCAATCCAATCAAACAGCCGAAATAAATATTTTTACAAATATTTAAACTTACGAAAAAACGATAATTGTTCTAATTATTAGTTTTGATCAATTTTGCATCCAAAATGATAAATGCTGAAAATATTTGTCGCTATAGCAAAGTGAATGCATAATTAAGCAAATATAATCATACTGCAAAACTGTCAAGTAATGTGTCACTATCAGTAATGATTAAAATAATAATATGTTATAGAGTTATTGCTTCACAAGGATGGCCTCTCACTTTGGCTCAATGGAAAAGGGTGGACGAAATTCTCAACTCACAGGACTTCATAAAAATTGATATTGGTCAGCACAAGAAACCTGCAAAAGAGAAAGTATTATTTTTTATACCATACCATACCATATTTCCAGTATCATGGGAATGCTATTGATAATTCAGTAACAATTGGTATTATTAAAGCATTGGCTAATTTAGAAAACTTCGTAAGGCCTTTCAACACTTTCTGAAGTGGAGTTGGGTTCAGTGCCGTGCATGCGGAATCCTGGATCCTTCTTCCTACGAGAGGCTGTACCGAGTTTTATCGGGTAGGTAACCACGCTTCAGGACAGATAATAGTGGTTGGAGAAAGAACAAAAATAAAACAGTCATAAGCACGTCCAACGCCAAAAGTATATTCTTCTATATCGCTACACTCTTGGCAGAGTGGTCTTGGTCATCACATCAGTGTTGGTGGCACGCCGAACAATCCTTCCCCGTTTCTTCCGCACTGCTGCCTACCTTGATCTTATTTGGTCGATCCACGTGGGCACGTGGCCTTCCTTGCGCTGGTAAAATAAAGTGTATAGCAAACACTTTGCCAAACTTAAAATAAAGTGTATAGATAAATAGTTATTCTGATTTGTGAAATCAAATTAGTTTTTTGATCAAAAATAAATTAATTCCAGCCAGCATCAGCTAAAAGCAAAGATAAAGAAAAGGAGCAACCAGCAGCGTCTAATCAACGACCACCTATGCCCGATGACGCATTTGTCGTTATAGAATGTGCCCTAGCCATAGGGGGAGGAGCGTTTGCTAGGCGTGATGACGATAGAGATCTAGAACTCGCAGCTGCCATCAAATCCTGGGACTTGAAAGAACCTGGGAGAAACCTAAGGGGTGCTCAAATAAGGTATTGTTTTACTGCATAAACATTGTCTGGTATTAGTAATTGTACGAAAACTGTATATCATAGATTTTTGTTTCAAATTCAAAACTAAATATTTCATATTCCAATTCAAAAAAATACATAATGTTGCAGCCCTAATTCTAAAATTAACATCGTATATAATTAAAAACTCCTGAAGTTTCCTAAGATAATACAAATTGCCCAGAGCTATGGGTAGCTAGCTACAGTACAATATTATATTAAAGTTAGCCGAGCCAGACGGTGAATAACTTTTACGCTGTCATAACACGGTGGCTAAAAATACATTTTGATTAATTAACTTGCATATCAGAAGATTAAAGTTAATCATATCTCACAGTAGCAGTGATTTGAGGATATTTTTTATTTTGTACACTTCTGTTTCAGAAAAGAGTTCAGAACTGAGTTCTTAGAAGCAGTAACAGTGCCTCCGTCTGAAAGTGAACACACTTTACTTGAGGTAACTAATTTAAAAAGGAAATCTCGTATGTTCTTTCAAAATGAAGCCTTGATAGTGGTTCTGTTTGCATAACAGATTATTTAGGATTTCATTGTAACTTAGCCATCAGGACTACGCGATAGGGACACTGAGCAGCGTTTGTGATATAACTTAATATTTAAATATTTTTTTGTGTACAGGAGGCATTCTTCGAAGAAATTGGGGAAGAAGATAAAAGTGAGTACCGACTTTATATGACTACTAATTAATAAATAATAAAAAATATTTTTGATTGAAAAATATAATATTTCAGAGGATGATATACAACAACAGCAAGGTCCAACACCAGCCTCAGAGAGTGGAAGTAAGTTTCATGATAAATGATAACTCCATTGCGAGAACTGGCAAATTATGATACGTAACAAACATATACCGTGAGTTAGTAGTTACTAGCTTAATATTTGTGCACGGCCGCAAATAATTCCACGTGCAGAAGTGGATAAATCTTGTTATCACCACAGACTATTACTTAGTTTTACTTCATGAAGCAATGAGTCATCTTGAAGGGTAATCATTAGAGTTCTGTGGGGCAGAAATGCGTTTTATCTGTTTTAAATCTCTGGATATTAGAAAATAACAATAGAAATTATGGAACGCGAGTCAGCTTGGTAAATCAATTGGGACACCCAGGAGTCGCGTCATTTGTCATAAAATATATCCTTGGGAATCGTGCTGAGGTTCTTATCTTTAAAAAAAAGGAAATTACTCGCTGTGAGACCAAGTAGTTTTCCGCTACTTCTTTACCTACGCCACTAGCTCACACCGTGTGTTGCTTCATACATTTCCACGACATACATTACGGGGCCAGTATAACCAATTCCTTATCATATCAGCTCCCAGTCATTTTCAAACGCAAACATGGCTAAAAAAATACTTTATCTTGAATTTCAATTTCAAATATTTTCTGTAATAGTTCTCGAGATGACGGTGGAAAGCGAGGAAGAGGCAAAGTATTTAGTGATGCCGGAACAACTGAAAGACAAATTCATTCCGTTGTACTTTGTACCTTTGTGTATGAGGGAGAAGGACGAAAACTTGTGGTGAGTTATATACATTAATAATATTATACATTTTTTACACACAACACAAAATTAATTACACAAAATTATGCTTATCAGTGCACACATTTCTAGATGTCCTTTAATACGTTGCTACTTATGAAAACCCTTCTCTACTTGGAGGTCTATCTCCAATTTTTAACCTTATACCAGGGCTTGGAAACCGGTTTATTTTTTGAACCAGTTTGACGTAAGTACATGCGGAACTTTACATAAAAGGTTCAGCTCATTTTAACAGATTTTTAAACTGGTTCCCTAGAAATACGGTTTTCTTCATGAACCGGTTTAAATATGACTCCAGGCAATGATCTTAAAACTTCAGCACGGTTTTAAGTGCCTATACTCCTATCTATTAGATCTGTACACAGGTATGATAAATGTCGTCGCTTAAAAATGATATAATTCGCATTAAAAGCGTAAGAACATTGCTTTTTATGAATCTAACGAACTAACCGGTTTTTATTCCATCCGAATTTCACTCCACATTTAGTTCCGATCCGGAACGGAACATTATAAGAGAGGTGTTACCTAAATAAAAACGGTTTATTCTGAACCGGTTTCAAGCCCTGCCTTATACATGCTGTTTGTTAGTACATCTGTAATAATATTATGATAAACATTTCCTGGTTATTTTACGTGTGAACAGCTAGTATTATATAATAAACAGATGAAAAGACTCACTATCAAACTATCGCGCTGCATTTTCTCACCTAACTTCGCCTAATAAATCGCATCTAATACCCGTTATTATAAGTATTTAATATCGAAAGATTAAAGCTCTCATTCGTTCATTCACTAAGTATATTGCATTTGTGTCACTCTGGTATATCGAACAGAACTCCTTATGACCAAAGATTGTTCTTCAACATTTGCTCTCTGCATAACGGCAAAGTACTCTTGATCTATCGTTTCTACCTAAACTAAATTCCCATCTCGTGGAATGTCTCACTAGGTCCCTCGCACCTCCCTCACCTGCCTATATATTGTTAACGTTATTATATCTAACGTTATTGGTCAGAATACTCCACTTTTCCATTACAATAGAACTATAAATATAACTTTCTAATCATTTAATTATCAGGATATGTAATAAGTTGTACAAATATTACAAAGTATATATAATATTTAATATTATTAACATTTTGTATGCTGCAAATGGATATATAATATTGATTTTGGTCTATAAAATCTATATATGTAGGTACTATTTGTGTATCATTTTCATAAATAAATTCCTCACTTAAAGATCTTTCATGGATACAATTTGTTTTAGTATTAACAACTGTATTATTCATTACTCCCGACTAATTACTCACCTTATAACTGTATTTCTGAGTAATATAACACTGTTATTCAGCATCTTTAAATCGTTAATTTCGTTACTATCAACCCCATTGAAATATTGAACTTATCCGTTACACGCATGAAAAGTAATAACCGATAAATTATCCCCATAAACTCTGTTCATATTTTGGCCTTTATGAAAATTTTGTTTTATGATATTACAGTGTAAAGATATTGTCGCAATAAATTAAATGTAACGCTGAATAATAGTTATTTCTAGCAATTTTCCGACTTTCTTGTCTTCTACGTTATGAGAGTTAATCGGAGTAATGTCATTTTTTCAATTGGCTTTAATGTATCACAGAATATTATAAAGCACTATAAGACCAATAAAAATAAAATCTATAAATTAATGTCTATGTTTACGCACAACACTTTAATATATCGATTAACAGCGTGCTGATAACGCCTGATCGAGCGGAGGCAGCAAAACAAAATCGTCAGGCGCGTATAGAAGCGGCATTGAATCGCATGCGGGAGTTGCAGGTGTATAACGAGTCGTTTGTGCTTGGCAAACAGAAAATGAGGTGCCAACTGCTGGAGAAACTTTTTATTGGTTAGATTCTATTGACTTTCTAGATACTATTCGCACTTTATAATGTGCTAGCAATTGTTATGTTTATAGTAGCGTAAGTTTCTTTAGAATACTCGAAATACCTTCGTAGCCGAGTGGTTCGTCAGTTTCAAGGTGTCGCTATCTTTGAGGTCCCAGGTTCGATTACCGGTCGGATCAATGTAGAAAATGACCTTTTTATATTGTCTCGGGTCTGAGTGTTTTCTACCTTCGTTATCTCAGATGCTCCATAATACAGGGGATCTAGCTAATCATCTTGGAATCTGAGCAATGTATATGCTGTTGTTTAATATTTAATTATTTTATTTTGTTTGTTTATTTAAAAAAATAAAGTCGGGCGGAGGTTTTCTGTAAGTTATTAATTAAATGATAGGCCCCATACCAAAAGCATTTTCTTGAATAAGTAGTAATATTGAAATCGATTCTATTTTTTTTTTTTGTGTAATATTGATGTTTTTTTTATATTATGAGTAACACTAAAATATTAAATATCTATGTGAATAAAAATATTCAACAAAGTGAGTCTTATAGAAGCAGATAATAATTTATTCCAATAAGACTATACTCATATTTTATAAATAGAGGAAAGATTGGATTGCTTATAATACGCGTTGGACATATTAAGTAGCTTTTCATAGAAAAAAGAAACAAGTAATCCAATAATTTATGCAGGGAAAGTCACGGAAAAATTGCTATTTTGATAGAAATCAATTTATAATTCAAGAAGAAATCGATTAACATACCTACTTTAACAAAACTCCTTGAACATAGGAAATTCAGCTTTCGGATTTTGAATGAATTCAAAATACGCAATCTTTTGTTTTTTAGCTGTAATAGGCTATGTCTTACCATATCAACTAAATATTTGGATGATATTTGGCGGAAAGCGTATTTGTTTTGTGATAAAAATAAAACTACTGATTCTATTTCGATAAAATATAAATGGGACCACCTCGGTCCATTAAGCTGTCGAATAAAAAAATAATTTTGAAAATCACTCAAAAATTGGCGGATATATCAGTGAACATACATAAAAAATACATTACCGTCGAACATATAACCTCCTCCTTTTGAAGTCGTTTATTAAAATATTCCGTCATATTTATTTATATACAGATGAAATTGTAAAGAAAGCCCTAATCGTAGATATTCAATCTCATCTGTACAGACAGTCAATGGAATCCAGAACTAACCCAAGTCTTAGAAGCTCGTGACGAAGCGATCACCACGGAAATTCTGAACCGCACTTTATCGGCTACAAAGAAAAAGCAAGATTCTAAGAAGAAGTAATTACATGGAAACTAGTTGAGCGCTCTTTAGAAGAGTTAAATTTTAAGTTATTTTTAATTTTAAGTTACACTCCCGAAGTTGTTTCTTGACTTCATTAAAATATAGTAAGTAAGAAACTTTGTTTTTTTTTTTGTGTGTTGAGTTTAAGGTAATCCAAGCATTTTCAGATTTGAAACAAGATCTGTCTGTCTTCAGATTATTAATTGCTTTTACTTATGGACACGGTAACAACTATTTCCTTGTTACCACGTTAAAGAGTTTCCAAATGAGACAATCTTATACGAGTATTATAGAATAGCCAATTATCATAATTTAATTACTCTTTTTGCTTACAAGTTTTTCAGTCAATTTTACTTTATAGCGATTTAAAAAAAACTATTGATATTGTTTATGTTATATCTAATATTATCTAAATTGTACAAAGTAAGTGAATGTATGTATCTTGGTCTATGTTTTTCTCACAAATGAGATATTGGATCACAATCAGTCATTTGCACAAACGTCCATTAAGGTTTAGTAACGCAAATAATAATTTTAATGGTAATTTGTGCAACTGGCTCAATGATTGTTTTTTATTTGATTAATCACTTATTAACTTCGAGAGCAATGGAATCTTTATCAATATCAATTTTGAAGATGTATCAGGCAGACTAAAAAAAACTTTAAAGTTTCTTGAATTATTTTCATTAAATTATGAAGTCAGTTCCAATGTTTTTACAGATTAGTTTTGTAGAAATCTTGTACCGACTTGCTTGTTATTAATTCTCTATAATAATGATTTTAGCCTTAGAAATAATATTCGCAGGCGCAGAAAATATTCAAGTTTCACTTCATCATCATCATCATCATCAGCCCTGTTACATCCCCACTGCAGGGGCTCAGACCTTCCTTATGGATGGTAAATAATGATGGTCCATAACCTTCCACGATGGCCTAATGCGAAATGGAGGGTATTAACGACTGCAAACGCAGCCAAGACCAGATCGAGAAAAATATTATTTTGATCACTCATCCCGTGACTGACCATTGCGAAAGTTGCTTAACAACAACGACCGCATTGCTTATCCACTACACCTTCACTTATGCAGAGAATAATAAAATCGTATCGTCCACCGAAAGAAATATGACGGAGCTAAGAAATCCAATAACGCTAGTGATCCGTGCAGATTTAGACGGACCACAGATCATAGAGCAATGACGTGAAGAAGGTAAAAATAAATGTTTGAAACGTATAAGCCTACTTTACATTTAGCCTGATTTATGTTCTGCTATACTTATAGAAGATCATAGAGCAATGACGTGAAGAAGGTAAAAAAATTGTATGAAACGTATAAGCCTACTTTACTTTTAGCCTGATTTATGTTCTGCAATACTTATAGAAGATCATAGAGCAATGACGTGAAGAAGGTAAAAAAATTGTATGAAACGTATAAGCCTACTTTACTTTTAGCCTGATTTATGTTCTGCAATACTTATAGAAAATAAGCTCATACGTATCCTCTTTTGAAGTGATTAATTGAAAAAAGGCTTTTTTTATTTATTATATTTGATTAATTTCGCATATAATAATTAGAACAAATTTTCATCTTTATTAAAATTTTAAATATTTCTTTCGACTGTTTGGATGAATTGTATGAACATTGATGAGAATACGCTCTGTAGTAGCGAAAAACTAACAAGTGCTTGAAATATTCGTCAGTCCTCGGATTGCGAAAGGTCATGTCCAGGTCAAATCCACTTGGTCCTTGGCACCCTATGATGGGATTTGAACCCACCCTATGATTTTTTGAGCATTTTTCATTAAGGCTATTTTTATATTTTAGTAAAATCAAAAAATTACGACCGTCTTCACCAAAATTAGGAGTTGCCCACATCTGTCACTTAAATATTTAGGAATCGCCTAAGGTGAAAATTTATTTCTCTAAGAACTTAAAATCACCTAACGACATGAAGCAATGTCTAAAATTATGACCATGCGTTAAGCGGCGCCTTATGCGAAATGACAGCTTACAAGTGTGTCAAACTATAAAAACAAAAATGTTTATTTGGAATCAAACTAATCTTATGCGATTCGTGAGATTAAGCTATTCCTTGTTCTAGTTTAGTGAAAACCGGTGTTATCGTTAATTCTAATTACAAGATGGATCCTTTGGTAAGCATGTTGCTATTTACGCTTACCCCTTTTTGCGTCGACATAGTTGGCTAAATGCATTATTTTTTTCTTTTTGTTTTTTTGGGTTATCTTAACAGTTAGCTCTCGTTCATCTATGACAGGACGCGAACCAATATCAGAGTTATTGCAGTAGTACTCATTTCAACGTCACAGCACATAGGGTCCGGTATAGTATTGACTCAGCGGCGTGATTACACCTCCACCGAGAAGAACTAGATTGAAATAAAAACTGACCAAGGGCAAGTCGGAATCGCGTATGAATGGTTCCGTATCTATAAGATCAAAAAAAGAATAAAATTTTGTAGCGTGAGCCCTTAAATATTTATTGTATTTTATTTTAGTTGTTGTTTTAGCGGCAACAGTAATACCTAATCCGTGAAATTTTCAATTTTCTCACTATCACAGTTCATAACGGACTACAACATCAAAGTCTTAGTAATAAGGTACTATTTAACCCTAAAAAAAGAGGGATCGCGTTTGCGACAGTTCCACATAAATATAAACTTTAAAAACCATAGCACTATTGAAACTATGCATAATAGGTTTTCCTGTAATCGATAGGAATAAAACTATCTGTACTTTTTTTTTCTAAATATTTAACCGCTTTATTTTATAAGAGGTAGAAGTGGTCCATTTTCTCCTATTTTCTGTAACAAATTTAAAAATATATATTTGAAAAATATGTTTCAGATAATTTTAATAAAACCTTTCATTAGATGTGTCACAGATTATAGTTTCCTCAAAATATACTTCGATGCACAACATTTCCACGTTTACGGAAGAACTATTGTATCACATCGATAACTCTTCTTTTAGTTATTTTGATATAAAAACGACACTACTAATTTGATTTCAATAAAATTTTCAATCCTACTTGGACCTTCTCAATAATATATTCTTTCAAACTGGAACGATATCGTGATACATGCACAAAAAAAGAAACATGCAGTCGAATTAAGAACCCCCTTCTTTTTTTAAGGCGTTGCTGCAGTTCAATCCAAAAATAACGGTAGCCACAAAATAGCCAGAAACACCAAGATGCTTTTTTATTAATGTCTGTGCCAGTTAAACTGTGGTTATACGAGGGTCAAACTGAAAGTTCTTAGAAAATCAAAAACTGATTACATTAGCCAGTTATTAGTTTTATTATATCTTTTCAAAATATTGTCCATTCACGTCAATACACCGCTGCATGCGATGGAACCACTGGGAAAAGCACTTTGCCCACTCGTCCTTAGGGGTCTCTTCAATGGCATCGCGATACGCAGCCACCGCTTCTTCAGCATTCATAAACCGCTTTCCTTTAAGTTTTTCTTTAATTTTTGGAAATAAATAAAAATCACAAGGCGCGAGGTCGGGGCTATACGGCGGGTGACCCAGTAATTCAACGTTTGATGTCGCCAAATAGTCGATCGTTCGCTTGGCGGTGTGCGACGAGGCGTTGTCGTGGTGAAGGAGGATCCTACTGCGAGGTCGTTTCTCTCGAACTTTTTCCAAGACAAGTGGCAAACAATTGGTTGTGTACCATTCTGCAGAAACTGTTTTTTGATCCTCTAACACAATTGTTGCAAAATGACCTATCCTTCCAAAGAACGAGGCCACCATTTTTTTTCCCGCACTTCGATCTCTCTTCACTTTAGTTGGCAACTCCTCGAAAGGAAACACCCACTGAGCAGATTGTCTTTTGGTTTTAGGATCATAACAGTAAATCCAGCTTTCGTCACCTGTTAGTATGTCGAACACAGCATTTGAGTCACCTCCGTTAAATCTTTCAATCATTTTACGACACCAATCCGCACGATGGAGTTTTTGAGCCTCAGTCAAATTATGAGGTATCCACCGGGCACAAAGCTTCCTGACCGCTAAATGTTCGTGGAGGATTTTGTGCACTTGACTCATACCGATGCCTAAGCTTGTCCGAATCTGTTGATAGGTCACTCTTTTGTCAGTCTCTATCATACGCCGCACAACACAGATGTTATCTTCAGTCGTCGCCGTAGAAGGCCGTCCCTCACGTAAATCATCAGTGAGATTAGTGCGACCACGTTTAAACTCATTAAACCAGTTGTAAACAGTCGCACGAGATGGGGCTTCATCGTGAAAGGCCAATCGTAGTCTATCATAACTTTCTTGTTGACTTAAATGACATTGAAAGTCATAAAAAATCATTGCACGAAAATTTTCTCGTGTTAAATTCATGATGACGTGACACAGACAATTTTCAATTTGCCGCCAAATCGTAAAACAAATGACAAATGAATGAAATATATACTCAGTAATATTGGCAAAGAGTTATATTTTCAAATTTTAGAATTATTTTTTTATTATATTGTTTATAAGTGGCCAGTTCTAAGAACTTTCAGTTTGACCCTCGTACTAAATCCAATGAATAACTCTTAATGGAAACTCTTTACATACTTTAATTATAGATAATTATAACTAAGACTTGTGTGTCTATCCTGTGATATTGTAAGGATTCCCAGTAACAAGTTAGTTTTAACGAATTGTTGATGAAATTTGATCCTCATCATAGAAACCCCCGAGGGTAAGACATCGGCCCGTGCCGAGACATGCAGATTAGCCAACGATGAAGGTTTCTATTCGGGAGCCCTATTTGGAATCACTCGATTGATATCGTGGTGCCGCGTCGGCTACTACAGTACCTACTCGACTCGCTTGTATATTTTTCAACATTCACAAATAGTTCTTTTCAATTCAAATACTTATATTGTGGAATTATTGGTTTTATTTATCCATGAGTACACAATTAAATTTAAAACTAGTAATCACAATGTAAACTGTTTATAATAGAAAAAATAATAAACTG